GGGATGATGCACATGAGGAAACCCAGCCCCTTCCTCAGATCTAGTTAGAACTTCCTGTCAGTACAATGCCTCAAGTTCCACCCACTGGGGTCTTTATGATAGGGAGTCCCTAAATCATCTAGAAAAAGAGCACGCCGGGATTCCTGTAAGTGTACTTACAGCTTTGTTGGTAAGTAGGCTGCAGTGTCATCCTTACTTCTGATAATGTCGTTACATTTGTCTAGTGTTTGGAAAACTGTGTAAGTGTCCCCAATGCTATAAAGGGCTGCAAGATTCTTAGCTAACAATTTCCGAGTAGGTGGTCCAGGAGAGCTGCTTATTAATCCAGTTAATTGTTCAACAAGTTTCTTCTGTTTTTCTTTTACGTCTGTCTGTTATTTAAAAAAGAAAAAGAACATCATATTTTTCCTTGTACCCTTATTACTTAGTAGTCAAAAATACTTAACATGTATAATGGCTCTAATAATTAAAATCTGTATTCACTAAGCATAACTCATACATGAAAACTTTTATAAAAATGAAAACTTCAGTAAGAAATGATCCACTCTTTCCTAGATTAAATCACTAGTCCCCTTTATTGTCCAAAAGTTTCATTTCAACAAAAGAGATTACTGTGTGAACCAGTTCCAGATCAACTTAGGAAGTGAAATCATATACTAATGTTTGGATGACTGATATCTAAGGTTTTCCCTTGAAAGGTCAGATACAGTTGTCCAAAAAGTTAGGGGCTAGTAAAGGAAACCAAAAGAAATTTAGAGATCTAAGCAACAGAACATAATTCCCAGATCCACACGTAATCACTATCTAGTCAGTATCTAGAATTCACTCATTCTTTGGAAGGAGGTGAGAGGTCCTTGGACTCCCCACAGGGCAGGGAACTTGGTCTGCTCTTCCTGCTCTTTGGGCTGAGGAGAGAGGGGGACTTGATTGGGGGAGGGGGGGGATATGGGAGGCGGTGGCAGGGAAGAGACAGAAATCTTTAATAAATAAAATAAATAAATAAATAAAACAAATAAATTTAAAAAAAAGAAATGCAATGCAATTACTACAAGCCATGTACTACTCTAGGCGCTGAATACAACAGGGAAGAAAACAAAGTCTAGATCTCATGAAACTTACATTCTGGGGGGAGGGACAGGATATAAATACATGAATGGTATGAGTGCTTACTATTAAATATATTAATTAGGAAAACATCTCTCTCTAATGTGAAGTGGTGAGCTATGCAGCTATCCAGGAGAACATTCCAGGGAGTGGGAACAAGACCTACAACGTTTGCAAATGAAGTGTGCTTAGCACACCCGAGGACGGCAAGGTCAGGATAGCTGGGATGAAGTAGGAGAAAACAGTCAAAAGACGAAGTCAAAAGAACCCAGACGATCACACTGAAGAACATTCAGTTTATTCTGAGAGAGCGCTGTAATCTAAATGTTTCACCCAGTTAACTCTGACTGCGGAAAGTGCGGTTGCTGAACGTACAAGGCAGGAGCAGGGTGTGCAATTAGAAAGCTATTGCAACAACCCAGAAGAGAGACACTGGAGAAGCAGGCGGTTGCTAATCAGCATGATAGAGGGTTTAACAAAGAAGTAAAGGACGATTTTAAAGATTTGGGAAAGGATAAGTTTGAAAAAGAAAATCACTACTTTGGTTTAGATGTGTTAGCGTTAACTCTGCGGTGTGTGTGTGTGTGTGTGTGTGTGTGTGTGTGTGTGTGTAGAAAGGGGGGAGGAGAAAGGACAGAAGAGGGAATCCCATGCTGCCCTTGAATTTACTGTGCAGCTGAGGACGACTGTGAACTTTTGATCCTCCTGCATCCACTTCCCAGGGGCTGGGATTATTGCTGTGGGCCGCCACATAAAATTGTTTTATGTGTGCTAGGAATTAAATCCAGGACTTTTTGCATGAGGCGAGTGCTCTGCCAACTGAGCTACATAGGAGCCCATGAGCTTTCTTCTGAAAGGTGGGTATCTGAAATGGGGGTAGAAATCCTAAGATTAGCTATCACTAAAGAGTAACACTGACGACTCTCACAACAAAACAACGTGAGTGTTGAGTATTTAACGCAGAGGATCAGCTATGTGAGATGATGGGAAAGGACCAAATAAAACAAGTCCTGACTATTGATTTGAATAATTTGAGTTATGTGATAACTTGGAAAAAACTTTTCAGTGGAAGGAAGACAACAAAGGTTCAGTTGCAGAAGATTTAAGAGATAAGTGAAATTTCCAGTTAAAGGTTACAAGGGAATCCATGCATTTACTGTCTTTATGGCAATTAAAGTGATTCTACCAGGCAAGAACAATAGTATCAGAGCACAAGTTTATAACAGCCACGACAATAGCAAAAGAACCCAAGCACAGCCTAGGATTCCCAACAGAGAAAACAAAAAGAAATTAAGACACAAATTACTCCAACAGTTCATGGTTTTAAGGCCTGGGTGCCTTTTGAGGTTAGACTAAATCTTCACCTGGAAACAAAAGCAATGACTGGGCCGGGCCATGGTGGTGCACGCCTTTAATCCCAGCACTCGGGAGGCAGAGGCAGGCGGATCTCTGTGAGTTGGAGACCAGCCTGGTCTACAAGAGCTAGTTCCAGGACAGGCTCCAAAACCACAGAGAAACCCTGTCTCGAAAAACCAAAAAAAAAAAAAAAAAAAAAAAGCAATGACTGGTTGATAGTCTAAAAGGGTGTACAGGAGAGCACCCATCATGTCCAGCATTTCATCACTCAGGCAGCTAATGCAGGAAGACAGCAGCTTGTTTGAAGCCAGTCTGGGAAACACAATGAGTCCCAGGCCAGCCATGTATAACTAATAAAAGCCTGTCACACCAAGTAAAGTCAAAGCCAAAAAAAAAAAAAAAAAAAAAAAACCCACAAAATCTTCTACGCTTCTCTCCTCATTTTAGAAGAAGGCTAGAGGCTTGTTTTCTGAAAAAACAGTTAGACAGGACAACTCTGGACAAGAAGGCATCAGGCACAACTGTGGAATGAGGTCACTGTACTAAAAAAGGAATTAAGTGAATATTTACATACTGAGTGTTGAAGCCTTCAGGCTCCCCATCCCAGTCTCTCAGTCTCTCAATCCTAGACAAGTAACCACATCTCCTCCAGACACTAGAGTAGAAAAGTATCTACTAGGGAACAATCAGTCAAGAGGAACAAACTAACACAGTAAGGACAGGACTATCCTATCTGACATTCCGCCAACAAAATTCACCTTTTCCAGAACACCTTCTATGACTCACTTTTAAATCTGAACCAAGTTCTCATTTGAGGAACACATCTAATGCTTAAAAAATAAACAAAATATGAACAAAACAACCTTGCATCAAAGAGTCTGTGTAGCAAGTAGAAGAAACAGTAAAAGTCTCTTTTAAGTCCCCAGAGAGAACATGCAGACACTGGAATCGCAGGCATCACAGAGACCACTTCTAGGCACTGATGACTATGAGTGACACCAGCCACAGAGACATCTTCTTCTCCCCGTCACACTAAGCTGAGATATGAAGGTCCCAACATGCAGGATTTAGTCAGGGTTTGGGTTTTGTTGCTGATCAAAAGAAAGATAAACTAGAAATTCCTGACGTGAGTGACTCATAACATTTTCAAAGCATGATGCTTAAATTTTCCTTTATATTAATCTCATGGGGGTAGGGGAGCAATACCTACCTTGTTGGCAGCAACTAGGACTTTGTCAAGAAATCTTAACCATTCAAAGATAAACACTGGTCTCTTTGCTTCGGTGATTTGAGCCAATGCTTCTTCATTTAGCAATAAGCTGTGAGCTAACTCCATTACTGAAGTTCTTAATTCACACCTTAAACAGATTAGATAAAATTAAAAAAGAAGTGCATGTAAGGAATTTTTATTTATGTGTAGGACTGTTTGCCTACATAAATGTATGTGCACCACGTGAGCCTGCTGCCCACAGAGTTCAATCAAAGCAGGTGTTAGCTCCCTGCAACTGGAGTTAGAGATGGTTTTGAGGCACCATGTGGGCCCCGGTCCTTTTCAAAAGCACCAAGTGTTCTTAACCACTGAGCCATCTCTCCAGTCCCCACATGTAAGGATTTTTAAATATTAAATGTCAAGTCTCATAAATGCAACCACTAAGATAGGGAAAGAAAGTACGGTTTCACTTCTCATTATTTCTTATTTGTTCAATATAACTTCTTTGACACACAGCCTGAGAGAACCAATTTTGAGAAGACAACGGAAGAACCAAAACTGGAGATGAGAATGGAACGCAAGGAAAATGGAAATACTGCAAAAAGGCATTATTCCCGGTAATTCATTCTACCATGAGAACCCCTAAGCAAGAAGCTCACGCCTCTTGGCGAGCTTTCTCCGTCCCCGGCTGACTGTACCGGCACCTTTACCGGTCCCTGGCTACCAGGGTCCAGGATAATGACCCCAGGCTTCCGACAGGCGAGGGGCGGGGCTTCGCAGTAGTAGCGTCCGAGACAACCCCTCGGCCCGAAGATGCAGACCCCGACTGCTCGGTGTCTCGGTGCACCCCGCTGCTCCGAGGGTCGCGACAGCTTAGGGCCTGAGGAAAACGCGAGTCGGGGTCGCGGGGACGCCCCAGGATGTCAGCTTCCCGTCGCGGGGGTCCCCGAGCTGTCAACCCCACGAGGCTGAGGCTCTCGGGCCTTAAAACTGCAACTCCCTCCTCAGCCCTCGGCAAACGTCCCGCGGCACAGGGATCGCGGTGCACGTCTACCAGCAGGCTTTGACAGCGCGCGGAGCCGCCTCACCTCCTAGTCTAGCAAGAGCGGAGGCAGCTGAGCTCCGCCGGCAGAAGTCACGGCGGACGGACCCGGATGCCCCGCCTCTCAAACGCCTGCCAGCAGGAAGAGGGAGGAATACGCAGGCGCAGAACGCTGGTCACGCGCACGCGCACTCTTCGCGCTCTCTTAACCCCGCCCACCCGCAAGTTTCCGAACGAATCCGCTGTCAGAAACAAGTGGGATGAAACTCTGCGGGGCCCCGCACGAAATTGGACGGCGCATGCGCAGCGCGCTGGGGGTCGAGGCGGTAGAGCTGCGTATTTAGAGTCTGCGGACGCCCAGAAAATTTTGACTGAGGTCGGTGCTAGTTGGCTGTGACTGCCCATCACGACATCAGCAGCGCCCCATCCGTGAGTGGTCGTTTTGGTGAGTCGCGGCAGGCGGGAGGGAAGGACCAGCGATGCTCGAGACAGCCATAGGAAAGAGGTAGCCCACCTCCGTGTATTAAGTAGCCCTTGCTTCAAACTACCGTACCCTTTGCCCAATAAAGAATAAGCCTGCACCTATAATATTCCCGTTGAGAAAACGGTTACCCATTCTTTAGGTGCATAAGCAAAGAGCTTCACATTATCTTTCACACACAGCTACCTCCAACCCATCCACAAATGCTGTATGATGTCCCCTTAGGTAGACCACCTCGCTGCTGGGACTCTTAAGGGATGGTCCAGCATCGTTGCCTGGGTTTTCTGTCCATCTCCTTGTGAAGTTTATGCTTATGTTTGAAGGGAGTGGATGACGCCGGTGTATATTGTCCTCTTAGCAAGAGAGCTTTCACACTTGAGGACCTAAATTCCTTATTCCACTCCTTAAAAGTAATTTAACTTCCTCACCAATAGTAACTAACTTCCTCAAAATGTGTCTATCGGTGACATTGCGATACCTGGGTGTAAGTAACTGTGATGAGGTATGAACATTGTAACTATCAGATGTAATAGCTAAAAGGGAGCACTTTCAAAGTAACCTGTAATACCTTGTACTTTGTGTGTTTCATGTTCTGAGACAGGGGCTCCACTGTGCAGATCATGCTGCCATCAACTCCAGTACACCAAAGGGCCACCGTGTCTGACTGTGGAAATGTTCCCCCTAAAAATAATTCGATTTGGGCTAGAGATTTAGCTCAATGGTAGAACGCTTTCCTTACACCCAGCTCAGCGATGACAATTATAGCCTCGTTCTGTTTCAGGAGCAAAATCACCAAGACCTGTATTCTCTGTGGCTGCGAACAAATCATGTAGCTGGATTGAGCCTTAATTTTTCCAGCTGGAAAGTGGAGCTAACTGTTCATATCTACTGAGCTGTTGATGAGCTAGGTGAGTATTAGTTGTTACGTGTAAACATGTCTATATTCAGTCTGACTCACCTCAGGCTTCCCAGATGGCTTCCTGATTTGGCTCACACATTTGTGCCTCAGATCCTTCCACATGGATGCTCCAAAGAGCTTCTTGACTGCTCCCCTGTGTGGCCACAGGCTTGATTCAGTTAATCCATGCTACCAACTTTACAGAGTGCAGTGTGCGGTATGACCCAAAAGTCAATCTCAGACTCAAAATCCTGTTGGTTACACGAATGGCTCAATATGGAGAGTGCACAGAGTTATCAAAAAGCCCAGAGGCAAGATTTAATAGGAACCGACCATCTTGGAGAATACCACATGATTATATGCGTGTCTGTCCGGAGAATCACAAGTTCCAAGGCCATCTTGGACTGCATCGTGAGTTCCAAGCCAACCTGAGATACAGCATATAGTGTGGTCCGGTCTCAGGAAAGAAACAAAAAAAAAACAAAGCAAGAGTGTTTACTTCTGTGGTGTTTTGAATTCGTATGGTACCAGTAGACGCGTATTTTTGAATACTTGGTCTCCAGTTGGAGGACTTGTTTTGGAGGGATTAGGAGGTGGGCCTTGCTGGAGGTAGTGAGTCACTCCAGGGGCTTTGAGGTTTCAAAAGCCCACACCATTTCCAGTTAGCTATTGTTGGCTTGGCTGCTTCTCTGTTGCTAGGACGTAGAGTGCTGAAATTCTCTATGTTTGTGCACAAGGGAGCATCATGTAGCATTGCCTCTCTCTCTGGTTGATTTCCATCATGGTAAACTAAAATGATAATGATAATACTTTTGCTTTGTCCCATTTGATCTGTAGGCAGTGTTGTCATATGAAGTTGAACATGGCAGAAGAAGAGGATTACATGTCAGATTCCTTCATTAATGTTCAGTAAGTAAATGTGTATACCTAATATGATGATATGCAAAAGGCATCTGTAGACTATAAAATAAGGACAGTGTTTGGGTGATGGTACCGTAATCATGTGTGCTGTTTTGAGATGGGATCTGTCTTATGTAGCTTAGGCTGCCCTCCGGCTCACTATGTAGCTGATTCCCCTGCCTCTGTTTCCTAAGAGCTGAGATTGCAGGTGTGTACAAAAGCCATGCCTAGCTGTTATAGCGCTGGGGGTCATACTCAGGCTGGCTAGGACTACACAGAGAAACCCTGTTTGGAACTCTCCTCCCCCCAGGAAAAATCAGTCTTCCTATTTCATGGATAACATCCCATGTGTCCTTACAAAGAGAACAGGAGCTTTCTCCTCTCTTTTGGTACTAACCATTTTACTTCTGCTCTTAACCATCTTTGGGTACCCTCTTCTGTCTTCTGTCAGAGTCAAGAGAGAAAACTTCCTACCCTCGCCTACACTGTTGCCTTTCTTTTTCAGAGAAGACATCAGACCAGGCGTGCCAATGCTGAGGCAGATCCGAGAGGCCCGTCGAAAAGAAGAAAAGCAGCAGGAAGCTAATCTGAAAAACAGGCAGAAGAGTGTGAAAGAGGAAGAGCGGGAAAGACGTGACATCGGGTTGAAGAATGCACTAGGCTGTGAAAACAAGGGATTCGCTTTGCTCCAAAAGATGGGATACAAGAGTGGCCAGGCTCTGGGCAAGAGCGGTGAGTTGGACGTGGAAGTGGCTCAGTGTTCTCCCGCTCAACTGCAGTGTGCTGATGGAGACCCAAGCTGACAGTACCTTTATTTACCAAAAAGTAAAACAACTTAAGTTTCTTAGCATCTTTGGTGCTAGCAGTCCTTACAGAGTTGTCTGCTCACGGCCCTCTTAAACGCCACACATGCCGACACAAGCTGCTTACCATCCCACCGCCGCCTCAAAGGCACTGGCAGGCGGCTGACGAGGGGAGCAGTGAGGAATGGGTGCAGGCGATGGGCAGAGAAGCACAATGATCACACTGCAATGAAGCAACTTTGGGGACCATCATGGGGCTCTTCTCGGCTTGCTCTGTGCCCATGGCAGCCATCCGACTGACCTTCCAGTTGGAGGAGCTGTGTTCCCCTTTGGGAAATCACACTGCTTATGAAGATGTAGTGGCTGTAAATTGTGGCTTCGGTTTGCTTTTTTTTTTTTCCTCTATTCTAATCACTTTGATTTTTCATATAGGAAGGGTGTTTCCTTCTGAGATTGTTGCCCACTAAGACTGTTGTGTCCCTAATATCACTTCCTAAAATGGCATATGTGCACAGGAGAGGCAGAGGCAAATGGATCTCTGTGAGTTCAGGGCCAACCTATCTATATAGTGAGTTCCAGGATAGTTACAGCTATGCACTGAGACCCTGGTCACAAAAATAGATGCTAGATAGAGAGGTAGATAGGAGGTATTTGAAATTAGGAGAGGTAATAGCTGAGAAAGAGAGCATTAGTTTGCAGAATTCAATTTGCAGTGTCATTGAGACTGGGAGGGGATATACAGAGAGCATTGTAATGTTACATACCTCTCTGACTGACCTGAACTTGGTGGTAAGTAAAATATTTCTAATCTATGTTTCTTTTTTCTTTTTTTAGGAGATGGCATTGTTGAACCAATTCCTATCAATGTCAAAACAGGTATATATAATCTTATTAGTATATTAAGTAACAATAACTTAGATTGGTTTGCTTACTATGTTTTGTGATGGTGTTCTTGTATTTGGCTATCATAGAAAGCCTATGAAATAGTAAAATGTTAAACTTTAAATTTTTTTTTGTTTTGTTTTTTGAGACAGGGTTTCTCTGTAGCTTTGGTGCCTGTCCTGGAACTAGCTCTTGTAGACTAGGCTGGCCTTGAACTCCCAGAGATCCGCCTGCCTCTGCCTCCCAAGTGCTGGGATTAAAGGCGTGCGCCACCACCGCCTGGCCACTTTTAAATATTTTTAAAGTTGTTTTTATAGTAAAAAATTTTAAAGTATGTTTTGGTAAAATAGAAGTCATAGAATATAAAATTTAGCCAGCCTGGTCTATAAGAGCTAGTCCCAGGACAGGCTCCAAAGCTACAGAGAAACCCTGTCTCAACAACAACAACAACAACAAATATATATATAATTTAAATCATAAAAAATATAAGGGAGCCAGGAATAGTCATTTGTAGTTATACATCTGTAATATCAGAATTTAGGAGGAAAATGGAGATGTGGAGGCTAGCCTGAGCTACATAGTGAGGCCTGCCAAAGAGTTAAAGATGAAGCCCACTGATAGACCATCTGTTCATCCAGTCCATGGCCCTGCTTCTGATCCCAGCACCACAAACCGGGGGGCATTTTTACAACTGCGGAGCGCAGAACACCTTTTTTGTCATCTGTAATGTTATCAATGGCATTTCTTAGTGTCATTCCTTGGATTAATTGAAGAGAAAACAAGCATACATTTATGAAAGTATGATAGTTGATACTATTTTCCTGATTTTTATTTTATTTATTATTTACTTATTTTGTTTTGTTTGAGACAGGGTTTCTCTGTAGCCCTGGCTGTCTGGAACCCACTCTGTAGACCAGACTGGCCTTGAACCCAGAGACCTGCCTGCCTCTACCTCTACTGAGATTGAAGGCATGTGCCACCACTGCCCAGCTCCTAATTTTTAAAAATATGTGTATCATTAGTGTTTTGAATGAGACTCTGTGTTTTCTGTTGCCGTTTTAATGAAATAAGCTTGGATAATTATATTCAAGTGAGAACTGCATTTAATTTCTTAAGTATTTAAATTGTCGTGTTTTGAAGTTTAAATAAAAATGAGTAAGTTCTTAAATTCCTCATCAGAAATTTTGTCTGTGACCAGGAAAAAGTGGCATAGGTCATGAGTCATTACTAAAACGGAAAGCAGAGGAGAGGCTGGAAAACTACAGGAGAAAAATCCACATGAAAAACCAAAATGAAGAAAAGGCTGCCGAGCAGTTCCGGTAAAGCGTTTTCTCTGAACTGGTTCGAATCCCCTTTATTATTCTCGGTGTTCCTTGGTGCTGGGGTATATAAAGCAGTTAGAGAACAGGGACCTTACTATACAACCCTTCTTTACTTAGGGCGCGACTGAAAAGTAGGCAGGATGAGCTGAGGCTCGAAGGCGACCTGAGAAGGAGCCAGCGAGCTTGCCAGCAGCTGGACACCCAGAAGGTAGGTGGGTAGCTCCTTCCAGTTTCCTAGAGTTTTTGGTACCTGCATGATTTGGTTTATGTTTTTGTTTTTGTGACTTTTTTGAGTTTTGGTTTTTTGAGATGGGGGGACTCCATGCCTTAAAACTTCCGTTTGATGTGTACCACCTGTTGTGGTTACCAACACCCTAATGGCTGACTTACTCCAGGTCCTGAGTTGTCTGCTAAGTGTCATTACTCAGGCCTGGAATGTATAGAAATTCTGTTCCCCATGTTTGACTAACCAGAATAACCTAAGTTTAGTCCATACTTATCGCTCTGTGTATCTGTTGGGAATTTAAGGTGGAATGCTTTCATTTCAAGTAGGAGTCTTTTAAAATCGTTTTAAACAAATCTTTGCCTTTACAAAACACAGTGAGTGGTATCGAAACAAAATGACTTCACTTAAACATTAGTATGGTTTCTATATAAGTAGCCGGGAAGAATGTCCTACTACACTGTATTTTCGTGAGATTTTATCTTGCATGTATTTGCTGACACGTAATGACTTCCTAGCTTACATGTATAGCTTTCTACCCATCACTCATCTTTCCTGCTTGACTGACAAAATTCTAATTGCCCTTTCAGTCATCACAGTTCATGGCCTGGTCTTTACCAGGAAATTGCACTCAGTGGATATTAATTGGAAGGACAGATTCATGTTAACACAAACATAATTAAGACACCACAAGTATACTTAGCTGCATTTTACAAGAATAATTCTGCATTTTCAGAATATTCAGGTTCCCAGGGAGGCATGGTACTGGATAAGGCCTGAAGAGGAGACTGAGGAAGAGGAAGAGGAGGAGCAGGATGAAGACAAATACACGAGCGAGGATTTGAGTGTATGTCTGGGCGCCATTGTCTTCTCATAGCAGGAGTCTTGGCCTTGGCACTGTTAGCACCTGAAGTGGGTAACTCTTTGCCATGGGCAGCATGACAGGATGTGTAACAGTAATACTTGGCCTGAGTCCTGTCACCTGACTAGGTGCAGGGATGGAGAAAGGACAGACACAAAGATACACATACAGGAAAACTAGGATCAGGTTGGGTGTGCTCCCTCTGATGGGGAGTACCTACTAGCCCAGCAGTCTTGAACGACAGTGTGTTCATTAGGAATAGCACTGGGGGAGGAACTGACTGGTCTTGATGGGAAGTTTCTCTAGGCAAGCAGTCTCAGGCGGTGACATACCAGAGGAGGAAGCTGCAGTTGCCGGGTGAAACTGGCATCTGGAGGATGGAGACCAGCTATGCTGCTATGTAGGCAACAGAGAAGCCTTGATTGGATGTGTATCGCATGCATTAGCATGCCATGTCGAGTCTCCAGTGCCTCAGCCCCGCAGGAGTGGCAGAGAGGAGCAGCTGAGCGTTCCTCAGGAACCCGGGAATGGGCGATTATAAATGATTGATCAGGGTGTACAAACTGGCAACTGCAGCTTGGCACCCGAAAAGTGTTCCCCAGCATTGCTGTATACCACCATCCCCCTCCCCCCCCCGGGGGAGAAAAGTTACCCTGCGGTGAGAGTTACTAGCCCCAAAATAAAATTTCATATAATTCTCCATTTCACTGTAGTTTACTGAAAATTACAGATTAGCTGCAAATTTTAATGATTTCACTTGGCTTTGTTTCCTGTTAAATTTCTAAAAGTGATCCTAATGTGTACCTCATCCATTCCCCAAACAGAACAGCCAGAAGGAAGCACAGGGTGGAAGAAGGTAACTTAGTGAGCGAAGGCACCTGCTGCCGAGCCTAACAGCCTTAGTTCTAGCCCCGGGACTCACGTGGAAGGAGAGAACCGACTCCCAAATTTTCCTCTGACACACACTGCCAAGCACCTGAGACCATATACACATATGCACAATTAACTTCTAAAATGTTATTATTCAGGAGCAAGTGACAGTACTCCTGTAGTTACTTGAATATGGAATTTTCCTAGGTAGTAGTCACAGCCTGGAGCACACATGTATGGCTTAGCTGAGCTCTCTGAGGAATGTGGCTGAAGGAGGCAGTCCTCCATCCCTTCAGCGGAGGGACAGATTTCCTTGAAAGTAAAAGAGGTATTTGAGAATCCTAATTATCACTGGGCACAGTGGCTACTCTGGTGTTCCATGATGTGCCACTCAAAGTGGATGTTCCTGCTGGGCATGATGGTGCACACCTTTAATGCCTGCACTCAGGAGGCAGGAGCAGGTAGGTCTCTGTGAGTTCAAGGCCTGCCTGGTCTATATAGCACCTCCAGTTCAAGAGTCCATGAGACCCTGTCTTTTTTAAAAAAAAAAAAAAACAAAAACAAAAACCCAGCAACAAAACCTCATCACAGAGCTAGCCAGAAGATGATTCCTTTTTTATGTTCATCAGTTGTCTCTTGTGGACAAGTGGTTAGTCAGCTGAGACATGCCCAAATATATCACCTCTGCTCTGACACCTTGAGTAATTGTTTGAGAGTGTACCAGAAGAGTTTAAGCCTGGGCCTGAACTGAGATTCAGGAGCCGAGGTTCTGGTCGACGCAAGCACTGACGCCCCTGTGTCCTCTGTCAGGTGCTGGAGAAACTGCAGATACTCACTGGCTACTTACGAGAAGAACATCTGTATTGCATTTGGTGTGGGACAGCCTACGAAGGTGAGAAGATGATTTATGCTTTAGAAATACTGCCCGTGAATGCTTGCTTGTTTGTGATGAAACCTGCATGTCTTATTTATTCCATTCAAATAGCAGTGTGGGGCCGGTGCTAAAGAAATACTGACTATAGAAATACTTCAAGTTTTTATTAGAATTCAACACTTATTTTTTCAGTAACTAAATGTGCAAGAATTTTCACCATTTTATTACTCAAATAATTTCAAGTCTAAAGAATAACTTACAAAGGCTAGGCATGGTGGCACACACCTTTAAACCCTGCCCTCAAGAAGCAGAGGCAGGTGGATCTCTTGAGTTCAAGGCCAGCCTGTCCTACAGAGCAAGTTCAGAATGGCCAGAGCTACACAGGGAAACCTTGTCTGGAAAAAATAAAAGAAAAGAGAGAGGAAGAAAGAAAGATGGGTTGGTTTTATCTTTGTGTGTTCAAAGTTTGTATGTGAGTGCTGTGACCGCAGCTCTCTGGCACAGCAAGTCCAGCCCAACCAGGGCTACATAATGAGACCCTGTCTCAACCACCTACCCCCAGCGAAAAAAAAAGAAGAGGAGGAGGAGGAGCAAAAAAACTTGAAAATAATGATTTTTTTTTTCATGCTTTATTTTTTGGAGACTCGTTCTTTGATAGATGCTTGCATTAAAATTTTATAACTAATTTCTGTTTAGGCACACTATTGTCCTAACTCATTAAAATCAAGTCTGTTGAAATCCACTCTCTTTTTTTTTTTTATTGTGAAGAAGAAATTAGTTTAACCTTTGCCAAATATTTTTTTTTATTTATTCTTCTCTCACATATTACATCCTGACCACAGTTTCTCTTCCCTCCTCTCCCCCCAGTTCCTCTGCACAACCTTCCTTCTCCCCCAGATCCATTCCTACTTCCTTTCCCTTCAGAACAGCCTTTCCAGATATCTTAACTGAGCTGTTTGTCTCCTGTACTGTCCATTTTACCTTATTAACTTGTAATTAAGAACTTTGTATCTGAGAATGAGGATTTTTTTGTTATTTTAATCTCTTAAATTTTTATGTTGTGCCTATGGGTGCTGTGCCCACATGTCTATCTATGTACCATAGATTTTCAGATAGAACATTCAGTGTTCATGGAAGCCGGAAGCAGGCCTCAGATCCCCTGGGCTTGGAGTAGACTGTTGTTAGCCACATGTGGATGCAGAAAATGGAATCTAGATCCTCTGGAAGAGCAGTCAGTGCTCTTAACCATCAAGCCAGCTCCCCAGTCCCCTGCCCCTTATTTTTTATTATTGTTTGAATCTTTCCCTCGTTTATTTTGTAGAATAAATAACAAACATGACTGTCCAAAAATACTGCATACAATTTTCTAAAATTCCTCTAAACTTGTATATATTTACCTTTTATTTCTTCTACATAAATTACAGATAAAGAAGACCTATCTTCAAATTGCCCAGGACCAACCTCTGCAGATCATGACTGAGATTGTTCCCAATAAAGTAAAAACTATCTATGTCGGTGTGGAAAGAAGGCCTTTATGTAATGCTTGATTCTTTCAGAAGTATGTTCTACTTGGGGTAAAATTGGTCACTGGCTTGGGAAAAATTTACTGTTATTTCAGAATACAAGTATCATAGAGATGGACAATTATGATTTATGCTGGTATTGTGATGCTTGTGAGGCATCCCAACAGGTAACACGCTTAGTCACCTCTTTACTTGGGATCAGTTGAGAAATAAGCCATCATGGGAATCAGGAAATCAGTTGTCTGCCTTAGAACTTGAGGTATACTGTAATGGTAGAATGCCTGCCGAGCCTGGGCACGGCCCTGAGCTCAGTCCCAGCACCACAAGTCAGGCCTCTCAGCAGGAAGCTGAGACACAAAACACTGCCACTTTCTCTCATCAGGCTCCTTCATAGTTTGTTTTTGTTTTTCTGTTTTTGTTTTTTTACATACTAGTCCCAGTTCCCCTTCCTTGCTCTCTTCCCGTTCCCCTTATCCCCCCTCCCCACCACACCTCCCATCTGCTTCTCAGAGAGGGTAAGGCCTCCCCTGGAAAGTCAGCTAAGTCTGTCCCATCACCTCACTGAGGCAGGACCAAGGCCTAACCCCTCCCCCATGCCTAGGCTAAGCGAGGTAGAATCTCTTCATAGAGAATAGGCTCCGCAAAGTTAGTTGATGCAGTAGAGTTAGATCCTGGTCCCACTGCCAGTGGCTCCACATACTGTCCAAGCCACACCATGGATATTTACATTCAGGGGTCTAGTTCAGTCCATGCAGATCCCACAGTGGTCAGTCCAGAGTCAGTGAGCTCCCACCAGCTCCGGTCAGCTGATTCTGTGGGTTTCCCATCCTGGTCACTTTGTTCATATTTTTCTTCCCTCTCTTTGATTGTACTCTAGAAGCTCAGCCCAGTTGTTATTTGTGGATCTCTGCATCTGCTTCCATCCGTTTCTGGATTAGGATTCTGGTGTCCCTGGGGTTGTAGACTGTAGTCTGGTTACCCTTTGCTTCATGTTTGCTATCCACTTATGAGTGAGTTACTATATTTGACTTTCTGGGTCTGGGTTACCTCACGCAGGATGGTTTTGTTTGTTTGTTTGTTTGTTTTTGTTCTGATCATTTGTCTGCAAACTTCAAGATACCATTGTTTTTTTACCACTGAATAGTACTCCATTGTGTAAATGTACCACATTTTCCTTATCCATTCTTCCCTCCTAGTTCTTATTTGGAGAAAACTACACACCTGTCCTCTGCCTGTAGAGTAAGGGCCTACCTTATGTTCTAGGACCAGTGTCTTGAAGAAACAGTTTTATCCTGTTTTGTTTTTCAGAATCAATAGATGTTAGCTCTTGAGAGCAGGAGCACACCGCAGGCTGAGCCAGACATGCTCAGTTCTTCACCTCAGTAGCCCCTGGGAGATAAAACACTTCTCTGCAGAAAGGAAGGAACTGAAGGGTCAGAGGCTTCCGTGCTCCTGATCGTGTCTGGGGTCAGACATGAAAGTCATGGGGCTTTTTCCAAAGTCTATATTCCCAGGGCTCTGCTCTAGTGCGTTTATTTCGTCTGACCTAGGGCAATTCCTGAATATCCACTTTTCTTTTTAAATTGCAAGAGTATGCAACAGCCTGCCTTTATAATTGTCAAAAAGAATAAACAGGCCAGATGTCTATTGAACACATACATAAAATGTTACACATTCTTACAACAGGACGCTGTTTGGCCGCAGAAAGGAATGCCTTACTGAGGCATGCTACAATGTGGCTGAAACTTGGCCACAATACTATATGAAAAATACCCCCTGAATGGTCTGTTTATTTATATGCATAGAACGGACAAATCTATAGCCAGGAGGCAGATTGGTGGTTTTCTTTTTTTTTTCTTTTCTTTTCTTTTTTTCTTTTTTTTTTTTTGGTTTGGTTTTTCGAGACAGGGTTTCTCTGTGGCTTTGGAGCCTGTCCCGGAACTAGCTCTGTAGACCAGACTGGCCTCGATCTCACAGAGATCCGCCTGCCTCTGCCTCCCGAGTGCTGGGATTAAAGGCGTGCGCCACCACTGCCCGGCTCAGATTGGTGGTTTTCAAGAGTTGGTTAAAGATAATGAAACTGTTAACGGATGTGGGTTTCCTTTGAGGTGACAAAAAAATGTTGAAAATTGAGTATAGTGTTGATGGAAGTCTGAATAAACACGATTTAGTTGTAGGTGTTGGAGAAATGAATTGTATGCAATGTGAATTATAGCACACAACATTTTTTCTATGTTTATTAAGTTAGGTGATATGAGTATGGATATGGGTGTGGGCGTGTGTACCATGGGACGTGAGGAGGTCAAGGAATACTTGTGTAAGTCAGTTCTTTCCTACCAGACAGGTGCTGGGGATCGAACTCAGGTCACCGGGCTTGGTGGCAGGTGTTTTTACCTGCTCAGTCATGTCACTGTCCCGAAAACTTGCTGTTTGTATAAGTTGAGGGTGATTTCAGGTACAAATAATTGGAAAGACTTTGAGGGCCAGAGCATGTTCTGTTCAGGTCTGTGTAGCTGGGCTTTAATCCGGTAACCCCAAGCATAGGATCCATGATGGCAAGCCTCCAGGGTGCATAGTTGCTGAATCTCATTTTGAGTTTCTGGCCTCCTGTACTGCAATAAGTGTATATAGTGTAGATGACCGGGTCTGGGCTAACATGTTGCAGCTATAGGAAATTAAAATATACCACAACTAAATTAACATCATCAGGGCTCTAAGTATTCCAGAAGCATTTTGCTTGCCTCCCAGTACTACTACAGTTTCCAGTTAGAACTGAAGACAGTGCTAGTGTAACTACATCCATCTAACCGTGGGGGCACCATGAGCCACTTCTGAGTGGAGGACATGCTATAGACAAGACTAGTTCCTCCAGCAGATGCGGAGAGAAAAGAAAACCAGGGAGTATGCTATGGAGTCAGAGGACGTGTCAGCCAAGTAACCTTGGGTCCTCCTGATTTTAAGTAACTGTACAAAGACAGTCTTGAGGTTGTACAATTGATCAAGACTAATTATGTGATAATTATATTTCTTAGTTTGTCTGAGTAGCAGGGACATGTGTGGTTTTGTTAATATTACAAAGAACTTGTCTGTTACAAATCAACCTTTAAATAATAACAACTGGAACACTGTAATGCCTGAGAGTCACTGTAGAATTTTCCAGTCAAAGAAACAACGGAAGAGATAGGTGTAACAACAGACATAAAATATTCTTTGCTAAAACTGCTTAATGTTACACACAGTCTCCTAATTCTTGTCTGAGTTTGAAAAATATGAGAATTAATATTGAATGAAAATATTTTGTTACAATAAAATGCTAACATGCCTAAGAGCCCTCTGCTTTGGTGAACACTCAAGTGGGGAATGGATGGTAAGTCTGTCTAGTGAGTCTGCAGATGATGACGTGGAGAAGCTGGCATTCAGGTTTCTCATGTCACATGTAGATATGTACACAGGTGTCCTTAACGGGCATGCAGCCTGTATGGTTGCACTAGACCATTCTCAGAAGTCCCCCACACTTAGTCACTTAAAAAGCACCTTACATTTCATTTCAAACTGGGTCCCACAAATTATGCAACTAGCCACACACACACACACACACACACACACATATACATACATATATAGTGTATATTGTGTATGTATATGCTATGAATATATTTGGTATAATTTTATGTTAAGTTCACGTGTCTTTATGTATGTGTGTTTGTTATGTGGGTATATTTAGTAGAAATGGTATGTTTGGTCTGTGGTAAAAATTCTAGTAATGCAACTAGATAAAGATGTTTTTTTAAAAGCTGGACCTGGAATTAGCAGGTGAGGTTCTACTTTGCCCCACTATTGCTATAACTAGGAATGTACTTTTTATTTCCTGGCTTTTATAGACTGAAATAATACATCTTCAGAAATAAAAGATGCTAAGGGATAATATACTAGGAATATACTTTTATTTCCTGGCTTTTGTAGACTGAAAAAATACATCTTCAGAAGTAAATAAGAGATGCTAAGAGATAATAGACTTATTCCATAGTGTGAAAATACCAGTAATGGAAGGGAAATGCTACTCTCCCTGCCCACATTATTTGGTATTCCTCTTAAATGCAGCTTCGTTCATTAAAGCCAGATAATATTAGTTTGTTTTTAAAGAGATTTCATTCCACCTAGAAAAAATTGAAAAATATATCTCTGCCTATATTTACCAAGGTTCTTTTTTTTTCCCCCCTTTCTCTGTAACTCCAGCTTCAGGGGGTCCAGTGCTTTCATTTGGCATTTACTGTTACTGCACTCACAAAGACATGGACAGACAGAAATAAACATTTATTAAAAAAATAGTTCCAGCCGAGAGGCAGAGGCAGGCAGATCTCTGTGAGTTCGAGGCCAGCCTCGTCTACAAAGTGAGTTCCAGGATAGCCAGGGCTACACAGAGAAATCCTGTCTCGAAAAACAAAAAAAAAAAAAATAGTTCCTCCAATTTCGTTCTCTCTCTCTCTCTCCGTTTCCGTGTGTGTGTGTGTGTGTGTGTGTGTGTGTGTGTTAAATTGTCTTTTCAAAGAAAACAAATTATCTAAGAATTCTGATATGACATTGGGGGCCGCACATCATGAGGTGATGATAGATTGGATCGCATTGTTGTGGTTATTGTCGTCTCTGCTGGAGAGGTGCGTGACCACCCGTTTCCTGCCAACATTGTCTTCGCAGCCTTTCTCACTCTAGTTCAGCATCCGATGACGAACCTTGCCTTGCCGCACTGAGTCGCAAACAAACCCCAGGCTACACACCTCACAGAAGTGCTTCTCTTATTGCTGCTCATCGCTGGTAGCCCACATTTGGATCGCTGTCAAAACTGTAAAATGACGTGAGTTTTTGTAATGGTGATGCGCTGCTTGGAAGTTTACACAGCCCTTCAAGGTCTCCGGGGATGCAGTCCACATTATCTTCCAGCGTTTCCTGCTGCTGCTGGGGCCAACGTCGTCCCTGCCCAGTGTTCCCTGTGTGCATTCTTTC